AAAAAAAAAAAAAAAAATGAAATGGTAGTGGAAATCGCTACTTTTCCCAGGACAACTTCACCTAATTCTTCCAGATAACCTTTATATAATCTTATCTTTACCAATGGGGCTTAAAGCCACATGGCAAGTCTTCCTTCTCTTGTCGAACTATTGTAAAAGCCGAAAGGTAGGCACAGTGGCTCAAGCCTGTAATCCCAGCACTCTAAGAGGTCAAGGAGGGTGGATTGCTTAGCTCAGGAGTTGAAGAGCAGCATGAGCAAGAGTGAGACCCCATCTCTACTAAAAATAGAAAAACTAGCTGGGCATCGTGGCAGGGACCTGTAGTCAAAAATACTATCATCATTAGTCATAGGTAGTATATAGGTAGTCACTAACATTCCAGCAGTCCTAAACTGCATGAATCTCCAAGACATTTCAAGAGATAATTTGAGGAAAGGAAAAGGAAGGTGCAATGTTGAATAAACCTTCTAACCCTGTGACCAGGAATTATCTGCTTGCATTTAACTAAACATTTTTGTAAAGGTATACTGTCCATATGGTCCAGCACTCAGATCCCCACGAAAGCAGCCAGTGCTCCACAGCTAAACAGTTTCAGGATTCTTTCCTACTATTTGTATAATTAATTTTGTGCTTTTTGCACAAAAGGCAGTATGCCATGCCATGTGCCCCACATCTTGAATTTTTACACTTGATGTATCTTGATGATCTTTCCATTATCTCATACTTGTTGTCTGCACAATAGTATCATTTAACTCTCCCCTACTGAACATTTAGGTTGTTTTCATCTTATAAACAATGTTGCATAATGAAGTCTTCTAAACCTGATTTGAACATAAAATGTTAAATCCGAAAATGAAATTCGGAATTTGTAATTTTGATATAGAATATTAATCTCAAGAGGCTGTACTGACTTACACATCCTGACACAAGTTTGCTAACTCTTGCCATTTGAATCTTTTAAGATGATAGATTTTAAAAAATCAGGTAAGTATCTACACAGCTTTTATTACACGGGACATTCCCTAAATGAGGTTATAGGTATTTTCCTACTAAAAATACTACACTTCTTTCCCAGTTCACACCCTTCGTGCATTATTTTCCCTCTATCATTAAATATTAACGATATTTTTGTTTTCTTAGTGACAGTGTCACTGTTGCCTTGACTACGGTGCCATGGTGTCAGCTTATTTCACAGCAACCTGGGCTCAGTCCTCCTGCCTCAGTCTCCTAAGTAGCTGGGTCTGCAGGCAACCACCACAAGACCCAGGTAATTTTTGTTTCTAGTAGAGACAAGGTCTCAGTCTTGCTCAGGCTGGTTTCAATCTCTGGGTCTGAAGGGATCCTCCCACCTCAGCCCCCTAGAGTGCTAGGATTACAGGTGTGTGACACCGTGCTTGGCCCTTACTGGCCTTTAGAACTGGGACAAATCGCACTCTGCCTCTCATTCTGCTTTTTGTCTTTTTGTTGTTTCAGAAAAAATTCCTTTTGTAGTTTAGCTTTATACTTAGGCCCTCCCTACTCCATTTTTTTTTCTTTAGTATTTACAAATGTCTGGCAATTCATTTACTTTTTAAAAAGTCTTGCATAAGGTTTTTAGTAGTCATGGCATCAATTTTTTTTTTTTTCAATTTAAATCTTATTCTTCTGGCAGAAGACCTGAAACTCATGGTCTCCCCATCCCCCAATTTGACTACCTGTTAATCCAAAGACCATTATGGAATAAGTCTTTCCTCACCAATTCCAAATATAAATTCTCATCCTATATTAATTCCTGAATATTACAGTGTTTATATAGACATTCTATCACACACTGATCTTACTATGTGACGGAACCACAGCTCGCTGACGTATTTCTTGACATTTCTGTTATTGCTATTAGAAATGGGAGTCTTCATTCTTCCACCAGATCTGGTTGTTGTTTGAAATTTACTGGTTTCTATTTATTAGTGCAGCACCAAATCACTTGGCTGAAACTGTTTGTTTCCATATAATTTTTATAAGGCTTTAGTTTTTTATAATGAATGCTTCTACTTACAAATAGGAAAACAAAACATCCTAAATGTACCCAAGGAGACTCACCATAGTATTGAAGTGGATGATTTTAGCATGATTGTGTAATGGAACGTATGACAGCTAAAATAAATTATACTTACATGTTATCAACAGGAGTAGATCACAACACTGAATGAAAAAAGGCAAGTTACTAAACTGAACATTATGTCCTTTCCCCTGTGTACCTCACAAGCATCAAGTCTACCTCATCATCACCCTAATACAGGACTGAGTTCCTTAGTTCCCAATGTAATAGAGGTTTATGGGTTGCTAACAAATACGTAGCAAAAGGGCAAAAACCTGGATAAGATAGACACACTCTTCAGAGCTGTGGTTACTACTGAAGATTCAGAAGGAAGAAATTCTAAATGACAAATTGTGTAACTAGGGCTTTAAGAAAAAAAACCTGAAAACAAATACAGCACAAGTAAAACATCTGTTAAATAAGGCTGGGTGCAGATCTCTTCATTACAAAAATCTAGGTGCTTCTGTGAATGTCTGAAATATTTAACAGACTTTTAGGGAAACATTTTAGACTGAACTACCTTTTAGCATTCTCTAATTTCTATCTTAAAGCAATAAATTTGGGCCCGGCAAAAAGAAAAATTTCACCAATTTTGGCAAGTTCCTAATCTCTATTTTCTCCTTGTACGTTGTAGTAGAAATTCTATTTGGAGATCCACTACCCTGCAGCCACAACAGCCACGGCTTGTTTGACCCTTGAGCTCTGTGAAAAGCTGCTGGATTCTATAGTGTCTAATGAATAGCCCTTATCTAAGTACTGCTTGGGTTGTGGATGGGAGTTTCAAGGACACACTGGAGAAACAGATTATTTTATCGAGGGTTTGACTGGAATAGTGTATGATCAGGCTGCTTTGAGAAATTAGGGTTTACTTTACAGAGCTGAGAACAAGCACACGAGTTAACACTGGCCTGGTGCCTGTCTTTACAAGGCTCCTACTTGTGAAGTGGCAGCCTCTTCACGGTGTACCAATGCTATGACTCACCATCTATCACCAACCTGTCTTCCAAATAAGACCTCCTGCACACCAAGACTCAGCACCCATCACTAACCAGTGACTTTTGAATTAGACCTCCTGTGTGCATTGCACTCAACAACCACCTGCTCCAATGAACATAACCACTTTCCTGAACTCCCTGTCCTCACAGTTGGTTGGAGAGATGGATTTGAGGCAGTTCTCCTAGCTCCTGGGTGATGTCATTTGTAATAAATGTTCTTTCTTCCTGGGTCATCTTCATTGTCTCAGTAATTTGTTCTCTTTGCAGCAAGCAATTGGACATAGGCCAGAAACCTCTGTTGTAGGTTTGGTGACATTTCTTCACCCTCTCAGCTCCCTTGGCCTTTGGGGATAGGTTTAAACAGACCTGCTCACCATGGAACAGGCTTGCTCACAGCATGGTAGCTGGGTTGGAAGGGCAAGCATCCCGAGAGAGAGAACTAGGTGGAAAATACATCCCTGTTATATCCCTGCCTTGGAAATTATATAGGAGAATCTCTGCCATTTTATATTGGAGAGGTCATAAGCCTCCACCAAAATTCAAGTGGAGACAATCTAGACCCCATCTACAATGAGAGAATAATCAATTACATTGTAAATCATAAACAAAAATAAAAAAGAAATTACCTCCATCTGTCTCCCTCCAGTCACTAGAATGTAAGCTATGGGTTAAAACATTTTTCTATAATATTTGGTTATGTTCCCAATAATCTTAAAACAGGCACTTAAATAGCTGTTGAACAATAAATCACTTTTTAAAGTGTTTATGTCCTTGATTTGGAAATCTGGGTGTAATAATGGAACCTGGATACTATGTAAATGCATTAAAGGAACAAAGTTTTGTTTAAATAGTAGGTTTCATTTTAAACTGACAGTATTGTACTACCAAGTGTGGTCAACAAAAGTTCTAATCTGTTTTTTTCTTTTAATTCAGAATTTCCACTTCTGATTTTTTTTTTTTTTTTTTTTTTGGAGACAGAGTCTCAAGCTGTCATCCTGGTTAGAGTGCTATGACGTCACAGCTCACAGCAACCTCAAACTCTTGGGTTTAAGCAATTATCTTGCCTCAGCCTTCCAAGTAGCTGGGACTATAGGTGCCTGCCACAATGCCTGGCTTTTTTGTTGTTGCAGTTTTCATTGTTGTTTTAGCTCACCTGGGCCGGGTTCAAACCCGCCAGCTTTAGTGTATATGGCCAGCGCCCTACTCACTGATCTAGAGGCGCCGCCTCCACTTCTGAGTTTTGAGATTCACTTCAAAAGACAATTCCTATATCTCACATGCACAGCTCATATTATTAATTTCATAGATAAATTCACCAATAAACTGTTCAAGCTATACAAGGGCAAGACAGTAGAATTTCTATTGCAAAAAGAAATAACAATTATTGTAAATACTATTTCAAAAGACACAGTAAATGGGTATTTTTCAAACTATAATCATTATCTTTCACCTCTAGTGTATTCTAATTCTATAGAAATGGTCATGTCATTAGCCTTTGGAACAAGATTTTATATTGTAATAAATAGACAAAAGACAATCCAAGTACAATTTTTTAATAAAGATAATTACAAAAGATGGAAAAATCAGCTCAGAAAGGCCAATTACTTCTTTAACAGATCAGTTTTTTGACATAATAACTCACATCAATTTTAAATACTATCACAGAAAGCATGGTGGAGAAAAAAAATTTTGCTTCATAATTAGAAAAACTCACAATAAAACTTGCCAAGAAAAACAAAAACGAAAAAAGCCATTTGAAAATAAATACAGTCCATGCCAAAGTAGTATAAAATGAAGCCAGAAGTCTTCAAAAAGAAAACATTTTTCTCCCAATATTTTCTCTTTTTAATGACTTTTCTGAAGTTGGTGAGACTTTCAAATTCAAGGGTTGCTGAGCTGCTCTGATTTGGCTCTATTAAAAGAGACAATGTGAGAATATTAAAAATGGCACAATCTTGGTTTAAATGCACTAACCTGTTCCATTGTACTGATGAGATCCTGTAGACTCATGACAAGAAACATACTAGTTGACAATGCCTAAGTGTTTCTAGAGTAATGCATGCCTTTCTCTACTAAAAGTTACCCTGCAAAGGCTAGCACAAAATTACACATGACCAAACATTTATATACTTTCTGAAAATAAAATCTTCAATCACATTTTTACGTAACAGTTGTGTTAGGTTAGCCCAATGCTTCTTAAATTATCTCGCAACACTAAAAAAATCACGTACACAGAAATAAGAGCACCATGGAAGCCATGAATGCAACATATAAAAATTAATAGCAAATGTCTCAGATAAATATGTTCAAAATACAAATTGCTTTAGTGAAAATAATGACTAATATAATCTTCAGAGTTTTTTAAAGTAAGCTACTTAAATAACAGATAAAGAGTCAAACAGATGACATATAAACCCACAGGTAAGATGGCATATGTTGTGTTACACATGAATACAGACTAAAATTCAGGGCATCTGACATAACTTACTGATGTTTTTAGGTTCAATCCAGTATTCTTAAAGTATATGATAGACACATATAGCCTCCAAATAGATGTGGTTACTACTTTTATAGTATATAAAAAATACTGGATAAGGAACATCATTACCCTTTGGTATCTGTTTTTTCACCACTATTGTCCTTGGATTTATCTTCTTCTTTAACATCTAAAAACAAAGATTAGAAATAAATTGAAACCTTCTCTGAAATATATACATTTTGTTTCAAAATACACCCTACATTAAAAGCTATAACATGTAATCTTACTATTCATGAATTCAATAACTAAATTTTGTGTTAACTCTGTTCAAAATGACAGTGGTCCAGCTGACAATACAAAGTGGTCCAGGCCCTTTTTGAACTTTCGCTTTTATAGGTTTTATTGAAAGAGGTGTTGTGAAGAAGTTCAGAGTACAGAAACAGGGGGCATAGCATTGTGGAAGGACGAGAAAGGCTACCATGAAAAAAATGGCATTTATAAGTATCCAGAAGAGTGAACAGATTTGGGTGGGGTAAAAGAAAATATCTTAAGAAGAGAAAAACATTAAAAAAGGACTTTGAAACAAGAAAGCGTAGGCAGGATGAAAGGTAGAACTGAATGTGGCCAGAGAACTGTGAGAATGGATAAGAGTTAGCTACTCCGACAAGCCCAGAGACACATGCAGAGGCGAAGTCATGCTGCTCATACTTTTAGTTTTTTATTCACACTAAAATAAATACTGAATGTTCACAATTTGAAAAAAAAAAACACTAACACTAACACTTTAACTCGATAGGTAAAAACAAAAAAGTTATACCAAATGTGCTGCAACTTTTCTTTAAGCAAACCAAAGCTGTGAGGCAATAATCTAATGAGTGTATGGTGAAATATCAATATAGTTAGGGATGACATAGACAGACATTTCAGAGAACTGGTCTGATCGATTATACAAACATACATGCTGACAATATGGCTTTTATAACATGTTTCAACTTTCAGCTTAATTTTAAGCTATGTAACCTTAAAGTTCTAAAACAAGATGAGGGAGAGGAAGAAGAGAAAAGTAACGGCCCCAACTCCAGGTTTTCACCTATACACTTAAAAAAAAGATTTCTATAGTAGTATTTCTTTTTTTCTGTTGGCTGAGGGATTTTATTAAGTCCAAGTCCCTGTCAGAAGAGCCCCATCACCTAATAGTGTTTTTTATTCAAAAAGCATAAAAAAGATAAAGATTTAAAAAATGAAAAGAAATGACAAGACACACTAACAGTGAAAGAAAAGGAAAAAAAATTAGAAAAATCCGATAGCTAATGTTAAGTTCTCCTTATATTAGTCATGGCTGGAATTTGATTGATTAGAATCATCACTGGCAAGTCAGAAGTATAAACAGTAGAGTGTAGCCTATTGAGGAGCAAATCCATGCACCAAAGAACAGAGCTAGCAGTGTCAGACATGCTATGGGTAACAAAAAGAGTCAGCTTACTCACATTAACTTCAATTTGATAGATAGTATAAAAAGATGTTGGATCAGTGTCTCTGAATCAGTTTTTCAAGTGCTATAAGATCAAAACCAACGGGCAACTAAAACTTGTGCTCTCTTTACTACCTGCATTAGGAAATGCACCAAGTGCTGAAAAGACAAATATTTAAGACATTGTGTTCCCTAGCCATCAGTAGCTCAATCCAACAGAGAAGCATAAAACCCTATATGATGTGTTTAATAACATGACAGAGGCAAGAGTTAAGTATTCTGGGAACTCAGATAAAAAAACTAAAGATTCAGGTAGCAAATTTGATTGCTTAAAGCTGATATGGCATTTTTAAGAAAGTTAAGACATCAAAAAGTAGTATCTCTTCCCTAGCCCAAATCCAAATCCCGTTCTATCTTTCCTCAGTTTTAATGTTTTCTTCCATTTCTGAACGAAGTCCATTATGTGACCTTTATCAAATGGTCAAACTGGTCTAAGGGTAATATATCTCTTGTGTTTTACTCTCATTAAATAAACTTTAGGTAGTTAAAAATTACCTTAGAATTTCAGCTCTGTTCAGACTATAAATAGATTTATAATCTGTCCTCACTCTTACCCAATTTATAGCACAGTGCAATGTTCATTATTTTAAGTATATGTCATCAAGAGAAGGTAATAGTTTTCCTATATTAGTAAAGCAAATGGGAATAATAACATGTAGAAAGCTTTGCATAAAAAATATTTAAGAGTTAAACCTCACATAGATAAAAAAGTCATCTACCTAACACCCCCAGCTCATCCAACTTGTGCAATTAACTTCAAGATCGTGAAAACTGCAATATAGTTCAATTTTTAAAATGTAACAATCAAAACACAGTCACTAAAAATAAACTTGACCTGCTTTTTTGTCCTCTGTTTCCTTCTTATCTTCTTCAATTCTAGCTTTCTTTGCTCCTTTCTTATGATCAGCCACATTTCTACGACCTCCTTCTCCTTCATCTTCAGAATCTGAAAATTCTTCATCACAAGCTATCCGCTTGTCTGATGCTCGAACTGATATAAAAGATTTTAATGAACGTTGACAGAAATTGTAAGGTTTATACAATCATTACAGCAGACTTATACAAATGCACTAACCAGTTATCACATTTAAAAGTACAGGAGAACAGAGGCTTAATGACTGAATTAAATAAATAATGAATGAAAAGTATTTCTTAATATTGAAAACTTGGCTTTGATTTAAGAAGACAGTTCAAAGAGACATAAAAACATATGAGGAAGCTAATTTTGTTTTTTATTATTTAATTTATTTATTTGAGACAGTCTCACTTTGTCACCCTTGGTAAAGTGCTATGACATCATAGCTCATAGCAACCTCAAACTCTTGGGCTCAAGTGATTCTCTTGCCTCAGCCTCCCAGGTAGCTGGGACTACAGGTACCTGCCATAATGCCTGGCTATTTTTAGAGATGGGGGTCTCCCTCTTGCTTGGGCTGACCTCAAACCTGTGAGCTCTGGCAATCCACCCACGTCGGCGTCCCAGAGTGCTAGGATTATAGGTGTGAGCCACCATGCCAGCCTCATTTTGTTTTTTAAATACCATTGATACCAAATATGCTAAAGTGTCTATACTATTAAGCATACCATTAGCCTGTATGTCTGATAATCATATTAAGCATAGTAAGAAGCTGTAAAATCAAACAGAAGGTGTACTTTAGATAAATGGGATGTTTTTCAATTTATCTCCAGATATACTTAAGTGGCTAATTTCTAGAAATTTCCCACCATATATGTAGTCACATAAATTGAAACTGCCAACATCTAAATCAGGCTTTAAGACATCAGAAAGCTAAATCTGTGTAAAATTAAAAATGGAAAATGCCAATAATAATAATATACTTATGAATAATGAGCCATAATCAAGTTCTTGGGCCACTAACACCTTCAATTTAAACTGTCGTTTTAATAAACCAGAAAAATTTAAGGGGTAAATCAAGGTAGTATCTTACTAGAAATTCTCTTGTCTGGATCTTCTCCATCTTCATCTCCACTGTCTTCATGAACAGCATCTTCTGGAATAGCTTGCATTTGGACACCAGGTGCA